GGATCTATATTGATTTGTTTTATATATATATATATATATATATATATATATATATATATAAAACTATCTCCCTCCGTGTCTCTTCTTTCTTTCCCACCCATAGAGATCACATCATGGAAGTGAGATACTTTTATTTTTTCCTCCCATAATAAAGAAACACGTAGTGAAACTCTTTGGTTAAACAAATCATGCAAAGTCGATTTGAAGTTGATAAATATTTGAGCTTGATGTTTTACCGTTTTCTGAAACAACCTTTTAATCAACATTCTCCCTTTCTTTCCATAGCAAGGAAAAACTACTGAGGCAGAAGTTGAATTTGAGAAGCTCCTGGGAATATCACATGTCAAAGTTGCGATGGCAGAGTTATCCAAGTTGGATAGGGGAGACGAAACAGATTCGGTCAAGCTTTCAGAACTGCTTTATGGTCGTCATTTTAGAGGTAGATATAATATTTTCTTATGGGATTGTGAATGTTCTTTTGTTTCCAACATCAATGGTGGTTCTGCTTTCATTCCCTTTTTCCCCCACAAAAGTTCTTTGTTATTTACGCGCTCCTTTTGCAGTTGTTTTTATTGGGTCAACCCTGTTTGCTTTACAACAGCTATCTGGTATAAATGCTGTTTTCTATTTCTCTTCGGCTGTTTTTAAGAGAGTGGGAGTCCCATCAACACTTGCAAACATCTTCATAGGGATTTCAAACTTAACAGGTATAGTGCTGCTTTTAGATCAATTTGTTACCTATATTGGATCATTTCAATCTGTCTCTTGACCTTTAGTTTTATTGTGTTCAGGATCGGTAATTGCCACTGTTTTGATGGATAAGCTGGGAAGGAAAGTTCTTCTTCAATGGAGCTTCTTTGGCATGGTAATCTCTTCATTTCATCTTTTTCACTATAGAAGTTGCTAGACATTCCCTTTCTAAAAGGGACTTGTATTGAAATGAAGATAGAAAGCCTCTATAGTACAGTATCTGGGACTAAAATGCGGTAGATGCCGGATGTTCTTATCAACTCACACGGGACATATTCTTAATCCGGCAATCTCACTTTATCACCGCCATCTTGTGCGCTACTATGTTAGTGAAAAAATTAATAGTAGACCAAATAGTCAGATACCATGCACGAATCAATTAAGAGTCATCAAGAATGCCCTTTTCTGCTTATGATCTAAAGCATCAACAAATAGAGCTTATGATCGTGGAAGCCTAAAGCTTACGTACATGATTTTATGATTACAGTCGGTATCAATGATAGTTCAAGTTGCAGCAGCAAGTTCTTATGCATCAGGTGCTGGTTCTTTATACCTCTCTGTTGGCGGTATGCTCATGTGAGTATTGCTTTTACTTAATCATTCCGCATTACCTTTGGCTGGAATAGAAAGTTCAATCAGGATTTCCTGCGGCTGTGGCTAACATGAGCACCCATGGTTATAACATAATAGGACACATTTTTTTTTCTTTTAAATGTTCCAACTTCAATTCAGATATTGTTTCCTGGATATCCAATGTCAGGATGTGGACTCACCATGAATAACTTTTTGCAGGTTTGTACTAACATTTGCTCTAGGAGCCGGTCCGGTTCCAGGTCTCCTCCTCCCTGAAATATTTCCAAGCCGAATTAGGTCAAAAGCTATGGCAGTTTGTATGTCGGTGCATTGGGTAATTTCCTTCTGCCTTTTCTTTTTCTTCTTTCTCTTCCCACTTACTCCCTTTGAATTGGTCTTTGAGAACAAGAGAATCCAGAGTGATAATTGGACTTCCGTGATATAATTATTTCCTACATTGTGGTTAAATACTTTCAGGTGATAAATTTCTTTGTGGGACTGCTTTTCTTGCGTTTGCTGGAGCAACTCGGGCCGCAGCTCTTGTATTCCATATTTGCTACCTTCTGTGCAATGGCAGTCATGTTTGTGAAAAGAAACGTGGTGGAAACCAAAGGGAAATCACTTCAAGAAATTGAGATAGCTCTTCTTCCACAGGAATAGAGGGAGCCTTGTCGTTTCTACGAAAAAGTGTTTCACTGATGAAAGCCTGAAAAGTTGCAACTGAAGTCCCCTCTTGGAAACTATACTTGCCACGTAGAACTCGAAACGACGCAAGTTCCTTTTGGCTAGACAGAACAAACACGTATCGAGGGTGGTGCGTGGATTAGAGACTAGGGACCCTTGTGACGATATTTCAACGACCCTGGTCGAGTTTCTGGGAACGGTGTAGGTTAGATGGTTGAGTTTAATCTTTTTAGCCCGGATAATTTGCAAAAGATTTGTCGGATTTGGTTATTAGTTCTAATATAATGTACAAATGGTGATGTGGGGATCCTTTGCTCTTTTCAGTCTGTCAGCTTGAAATATAAAGGTTAATACCGATGGTTCTTGTTTACTGAGGTGGTTATTCCGTGGAGGAAAGGAAACCATATAATGAAAGTTGATTTTAGTTTTAAAATCTCCAGCTCGCTTTATAAATTGGTACTTATGTTTCTGTGCCTTGCAAAAGTAGCGCATATTTGCTAATTTTGATTAAAAAATCCTAAAATGCCCGATCCCCATCAAACAGAATGAGTGGGGCCCACTTCCTGAATATGGCGGGGACAATCCTGTCTGGATGTTTACAATTGCACAATCTTCTCATTCTGATTGGAAGCGATCTAGAAATATGCCTATAACGGGGACAATCCTGTCTAGATGTTTACAATTTGCACAATCTTCTCATTCTGATTGGAAGCGATCTAGAAATATGCCTATACTCTACTGAGTTGTGTCATATGCACTGCCAAGCACTATCATTAGTACCGAACTAAATTATCCCCATCAAACAGTAATGTTTCAGGTCGCTGTCGCTTCAAAGACACACACACGCCCAATAAAACAGAATTTTCAGGTCGCTCGTTTGAAACAGTATATTGTAAAGAACTAAATTTATGAACTTCAGAAGAATACCAAAAAAAAAACCTTAATGCCCTTCGAGCTCACGAAAACTGAATGGAAAAACCAGCACTTGTGGTGGTGAAGGTCGCGGGGCCAAAGTCATCAAAATCCGAATCTGAACTCATCCCACAGGGAGAATCCTCATCCTGTACCGTTTTGGTCAAAGGAACATGCAGTTCACACACAGGAACTGGATGAGGCTCTTCGCTGAAATACTTATCCTGAAGTAGCTCCATTGCTGTCGCTCTACTAGAAGGGTCATAACAAACAAGTCTTTCCACAAGAGAAACTTCCTCCGGGGAACGATTGCGAAGGGAGGCCTCCAAACCGATCGGATTTTCAACCCTGTTGAAGGAAATTATCCTGTAATCAGGAAGTTTAGCGCAGCCTGGCCAGACTTCCTCAGTCAAGTTTCCCAAAACACTGATGATTCTGCTTAGCTGGTCGATATCGGCTGATCCTGGAAAAAGCGGCTCAAGAGTAAAGAGCTCGGCGAAGATGCATCCCAACGACCATAAATCAACCTCTAAGCCATAGTTAGTGGATCCATAGAGAAGCTCAGGGCATTTGAACCAACGAGTTCCGACACATGATGTGAGACAACCGTGTCTGTTGTCATCTCCAACCTCCTCTGCCTCGTAAGAATAGGAACTCTTGAACGGATCATCCACGTCTACGTCGCTTGTCGTGCAAGTGGCTAAACAAGACGCATCTCCGTCGCAAACGTTTGTCTCCTTATCGGAATCTTTGGCCTTTACCTCATCTAACACTCGCAAATATTCTTCTTCTTTGCTCATTGTTCCATACTCTTGCTCTTGAACGGTATGCCTTTCTTGATATGAACTCTCTGTTGGAGGGGTCGCTTCAGGTGGCTGAATGGATTCTGCCCCGTTTAAAGGATTCTCATTACTACCAACATATCCAGGCTCCATCAGTATCCTTGCCTAAAAAAGTCAAAAAATACAAATTCACTTCTTGAAAAGATATTAAAAATAACAAAACTCAACACCAGATAAGTAATCTTGGGTAAGATACTAATCTCAATAACATTTTTTTAAACAAAAAAGCTCAAATCTTTGTCTTCTAAAAGTTCTAACTCAGCACCTATGAAACGTAAAAGGTTCTAATGGTATATAATCCTCAGATCAAGAATTGGCTACAAACGGGGCAACAAAATTGGACCCCTCTTATCTTCTTATGAAAAACTACAGTTTCTTACCACAAATTGATAATCAAGCGGCGAATTGAAATGAAAGGTCTTATTACAATTTTCCAACAATAATGCCAGTTCTTTATCAACCTTTTCAACAAAGCATAAGCATATAAGTACCAAGTTTTGCACAGCAGATAATTACATAACTTGAGCTTCCATAGTAATGTAATTACTTCACGTATAGCTAAAAGTTTAAGATCTCATTCATTTGCGGATTTAAGTTTATATTTGATTTTACGTGGAAACTTTTTACTATAATAAAAATATGACTTAAAATTAAAACATCGGTAAAATAAATAAGCCTAAATAACCAATTATACCTATACGAAAGAACAGAATTAAAAAATGACACTTTTTTTCCACCCAATGCAGAACCCCAAAAAAATAAATATATTCTTTTTCTGTAATAAAAACTCTAAGCCAAAAAACCAATTGGGAAACAAAATGAAACCTTTATTCCACTCAATTCAGCAATTCAGGCAAATCCAAAAAACATAACCGCCAAAAAAGTCCTCTATTTTGCAAACAACAAAAATCTCAAAACTTTTTTTTTTTAGCTAATAATGACAAGTTCAAAGCCCCCAAACTTACCTGCCCAAAATCGGCAAGCTTGAGCACCCCATCATCTCCGATCAACAAATTGCTGGGCTTCAAATCCCGATGCACGATCATGTTCCGGTGACACGAGTCAACTCCAGAGAGAATCTGGAGCATCCACCTCTTAAGCTCTCCGACAGCGATTTCATTTCTCTTCTTGGCGTCGGCGATCAACGACGCCAAGTCGGTCCTCAGGAACTCCAAGACGAGAACGGCGTCCTCGTCCTCGCGCCAGAAGTACTCGTGCAAAACGACGATGTTGGGGGAGTTCCGGAGGATCTGGAGGGCCTCGATCTCGCGGAAGGCCGACTGGTAGTCGTGGACCTCCTTCAGCGCCACCACGGCGTCGTCGGAGAGCCGCCGTGCGCGGTAGACGTCGGAGTATGCGCCGGAGCCGACCCGCTCGAGGATCTGGTACTTCTGGATTATCTCCGGCCGGGTGTGGATGCTCCAGCTCTTCGCCGGTGGAGGGTCCATAGAGAGAGAGAGAGAGAGTGTGTGTGTGTGTGTGTGGAGAAGGAGAACCGGACCGGAGAAGAGAAAGATGATGACCGTGATATGACCTTAAGGCCTCTCTTCCGTTTTATCTTAAGCGTTTTTTTGACTTTTGTCCCCTAACTTTTTTAGAGTTTGGAAACTTTCCCGTTAAATTTTCAAATTTTAGTAATTTACCAGTTTAAACTATTTTATCAATTTTACTTTGATGTTTGGTTAGATTTAAAGGATTAAGAATTGAACGATTAAGAGGTTTGTGTTACGGTTGAAATTAGGTTGATAGAATTTTTGGTCGAATGTGCTTTTTTGACCTCAATTTCACAACTATCAGCTAAATAAAGCATATTACAGCTATTTAATTAGTTAAAAGGGTATATTAATAAAATTAAATGTTTACGGAATAAGTGTGAAAAATAACCTTATTTTAGTGTGTGTTTGGTTTAGGGAAAGTGGTTTAGTAGAGCGCCAATTTTTGTTTGGTTAGAAGGATGATGGGAGAAAAAAAGTCTTGTACTAATTAGGGTTTTGGATCTTCCATTAGCGGAAGGGTTATCAAATTTAAGCTAAAAATACTATTTTACTATAAAAAATTAAACAACAAATAGTAAAATAAACAATTTAGCAA